TTTCCCAAGACCAAACCCACTCCCATGAGGGACGAGAAGACCGGTAGAGACCGGATACCATCATACATGGATGAGGATGAGACCTGGTTGCTACTGCAATTCGGACAACAGGTATCCGCATACAACCAAATACAGGATGTTATTTCGAAATCAAAGAGAGTGAACAGCACAGGCAATTTAGTATCTCCTGGTTCCATTACAGGTTTTTTTCGTTGCGGGAGGGTCATTTCTAGCCGTGTGCCAGTGCGTGGTGTGGTGGCGGGGCGGCGGGCGGCCCCGTCGCGGGCCGCTGCCACCAGAGCGGCGGCGTAAGTTCACGTTTGTGCAGCGCCGCGCCCCGCCACGCCGCGAGTGGTGTAATGAGAAATGAGTGCTCCCCGCCTCCAGGGCCCGGCGGCGCGGCCCGCCCCTCGCCCCGCGCAGCACCAGCGAGCTACCCTGCTGCTAACCCACACAGATCTCTCTCAGTCTCCTTCCTTCCTTGCACCCCCTCGCTCCTCTTTAAACAGACTCTGAAAACTCGTCAACGGTGTCGTTCTTTTCGGACCGGTACGTTAGGAAAATATTTATCTATCTTTTTATTTTGTTTTTAAGGCAATCACAATTTTTGCTGCTCTTATAAAACCATTGAAGATACTGAGCTCGCAGGTCTGCTATGGTAAGGAGTGCTAGTTTCCCTATCATTACAAAAAAGGACTTCATTTTATCACTCTCAAGCCGTGTATGTGCCTTTACCACGGCCTTTTCAAATGCGCATGTGAGGCTCTCAAGTTTTCTACTGGCAGTAAGACAAGTGCCACATTTTAGTGTAAGGCGGCCCAGCCAGGCGTTTGGATGGTCAGACAACTCAAAAGATGCGACTAAGCTCTCCACAGAATTCCAAGCTTTTTGCCATTCCGCCTCCTGCACTGCTCTCAAAAAGCTCCGCGCGCTCCGCGTCGAGGTAAGAAGACTGAGGTGAGTGCGGTGCGGGCAGGGGTGGAGGCAAGGTACTCTGGAGAGGCAGGTGAGGGGTGGTGGCTGCGGCGGCAAGGTTGAGTTGGCTAAGGGCTCGGCCGGGAGGGACGGGCCGAGGGGAGGAGCGGGTCGGGGTGGGGTGGTGCGGAGTGGGACCACCGTGGAGGGGGCAAGATCGGGCAAGATTTTGGCCGCGCGAGGCGAGGGGGTGCGGAGTTTGAGGAAGGTGGGGCTGAGGTGGGGGAGGCGGGCGGACGGCGGACGGCTGCAAGAAGGCGGATATGGGGCAGGTCGCCCAGGGCCTTTTAGGGGTCGGGGGCGGCACGGGGGCGGCACGGGGGCGGCACCGGGGCGGCGGGGGACACGACCCCCCACAACAAGAGCAATTGACCCACAAATGGGATGAGGGGAGAAAGGGAGAGGGGGGCGTAAACAAAGCAACTCTAGGGCGAAACGCTGATATTTATTTGCAAAGTAATCGGCGCTACGCCGAGTATGAGTGATCCCTGTGATGCCAACCCTTTCCTTAAAGTTGTCCCTCTTATTAACCCCACTTGGGGGGAAAAAAAGTTAAAACTTCGAAGGTAATAGTGGATTACACACCACCCAAGGCGCACTAAAACATGAGGCAATACTGCAACCACGGACAAAAATTCTCAATAGAGACAGTCAGTAGTTCATTTCATTTCCCGCCGGTTAGCGATACCGGCCATGACCTTGGATAGGGTTTAACAAACAAGGGGAAGGGGTAGATACCTATCGCTGGATACCCCACCGTATCCGACACAGCGGCGCCGCCTCTCTCTCTCTCTCTCTCCCATTCCATGCGGGTGGATTTTTGTTTTGTGTTCCTGTACCACCGGCACTGCCATCGAGTCCTTATCAGAGAGGGACTGGCAGGGAGGTTCCCACAGCGAAGTGACGCGGTGGCCTAGCGCGGCGCCAGGTGTGGGATGTGGGCCTTGCGAACGGCCCAACGCTGTGAGAGCGAGAGGGGGAGCTGAGGGGGAAGGTACGAGGTGCAGGTCTCGATCAAACTGTGATGACTTACCGCATGATATGGTAACCCTCTGCTATGCTGATGTTGACTGCCGCTAGCTGCAACACTGCGATGAGGAGTGGGGTGGGGTGGGGGAAAGGCTAGCCCTCCTAAGGAGTTAGTGTTCATCATCCTAGTCTCCCGCATCTGGAAGACCATAAAAAAACAGCAAACACGCTTCCTTAAAAACAAGTTGAACAAATGATTTAATTCACGATAACATGTATAAAAATTAGAAATATTCAAAAACTGAGAAGAAAGTGTGTACAAAATGGGATGACACAAAAGGTGAAAAGCTACCTTCAGTCAATAATTCGCCTATGAAACTGCACTTAGATCTCCACTTTGGGATGATCGAACCAATCTACCATGCGATGAAAATAGCAGTACATACGATTTCTGCTGCAGTGTATCAAATAAATATCACAGCACTATCTCCCCAAAAAAGAATAGGACGAATCTTGCCTCCTTAGAATTATGGCCCATAACACCATATAATAAGATAGATTAGGAAACAATTACTTTTACACTCTTGCTCATCAACTAACCAACATGATGGTTCATGAACTATCAGTCTCCAATTAATTGTTTAAACCAAATCAAAGGTCAATGGCTATGAACAGCATTTATAAAAACTTCAGCATGCTCTGGTTTCATATCAGGATATATTCCGTGGCCCAGATTGGCAATGTACTGTGACTTGCCAAACTTTTCAACCATAGTTTTTACTTGTCTCTGGATCTCCTCCTGGAAAATTTATGGGCATATGTAACGCACCTTTAGAAATTTAAAAGAGCATTGGTAAGAGAAAAATCTGTAAAACGATTTAGTATACTTACAGGTGGCGCATAAAGTCCACATGGGTCAAAATTTCCTTGTAATGTAATTTTTTTCCCACTGACAGCCTCACGAGCCACAAGTGGATCAACAGTCCAATCAATACCCATGACATCATACCCACTCTCCGATATTTCTTTAAGAGCATAATGAGCTCCTTTAGCAAAGATTGTCTAAAAGAAAAAATTACAAAAGGCAATAAATTTCTGTAAGTAAAACTGATGGGACAGTGTAAAACTGAAATGCACTATTAAATCTATTCACCATAGGAATATCACCCAAATTTCTTGCTTTAACTCCTGCCTTTACTCTGGAGCATATATCACGGATACATGGAAGTGCAAATTCTTTGAATAGATCAGGCCCTAGATATTCCGCGTTTGATTCAAAAACTTGTAACAACTGTGTCAGTTGAAGGAGGAACAAAAAAATGTATAAATGTTAAATGAACTGTCTAGAAAACAACTACCAAGATAATTGAACGGGAAATAAGAACAGTACCTGAGCACCTGCAGCCACTTGCTCAATAAGGTAATCAACTACTACATCTGTTATTAATTTCAATAAGTCTCTACTGCTCTGAGGATGTTGATATAACCAAGCTTTAGCCTTTGACATAGTTTTAGAACCTCCACCTTCAATCATGTAACCCATAAGTGTCCACTGGAAAAGAAAAGATGGATATTGAGTTGTTCTTTTTTAGTTTGGTTTTTTCAGCTGGCCAGTCACAAAAAAAGCATACCGGTGCTCCAGAAAATCCAATCAGAGGTACTTTTCCAGCCAGTTTTTGCCTAGTCAATGTTAATGCCTTGAACACATAGCCAAGCTGTTCATTAACATTAACAGGAGTTAAAAGTTTCTTCATATCTGAAGGACTTTCCAAGGGTTGTGGTAAAACAGGACCCTAAGGTACAAAACATAAGCCACTTATTTAACATGAATTGTACAGATACTAAACAGAACAGCATAGAAAAATAAAGCACCCACCACACCAGGACGCATTTCAACTGTCATGCCAAGTGCTTGGGGAATGACCAGAATATCGGAAAATATAATGGCAGCATCTAAATCGAATCTTCGAATAGGCTGAAGGGTGATTTCTGCAGCAAGCTCAGGTGTTTGACAAATAGTAAAAAAGTCATGTTTTGAGCGAAGTTCACGAAACTCTGAAAATGAGGATGAGATATTTGTCTGCACAAATTAAATTTCAAGACAATGTGCCTTACCGATGCATATTTACCTGGGAGATATCGTCCTGCTTGACGCATGATCCATACAGGAACCCTTTCTACAGGCTCGCCCCGAGCAGCTCGAAGGAGAAGGTCATTCTTTAAAGCAGGGAAGTCGTGTGCCTGGTGAGATGAGAGAACTTTTCTTAAAAACACCATTCCCGCTAAGTTTATTACTAACACAGAGGAAATACTATGATTGGGATGGATAATGTAAATAACAAAAATCGTTTCACCAAGAATAAAACTTGAAATATTTTCAGAAACTATGGACGTAGTACTTACCATTTTTCAGATTGAGGAAGAAAGCTAATCGTAACAAAACGCCTGTCACGGTGTCTGAAGTCAAAGCCGGTAAATGTACTGCAACCAGAGAGAATTCAGATAGGTTATATAACGTTAATGAAAATTATCAAGGCTTGCAGGCAGCTACATAGAAGTCATGGGTTTCGAAATTGAAGCCTCACAAAGTGATAACAAGGTGAGACTTTATAAAATTCTTCCTACAAAACAATTCTAAATTAATTCAAATGATTCGACACTTGCCAACCACTTTCACTTACTGTCGTGCATGCACGCTGGCAATAACTTCAGCTCGACTGTAAATAGTCCAAATTGATCAGTCCCCCCTCCTATTTTCCAACCCCCACCTCTCCTCGCTTGGCCCGCTGCCCGCTGCCCCCTCAGTCGCCAGTCTACATTTCGCGCACATCTCCGAATCCACCCAGAACTGCTTCAACAGTTCCTTAGTTGTCCTGCTGTTCACTGCTACTGTACCAATCTTCGTGCTCCTCAGACTCTAGATAATTTCGAAAATGTCGATGGACGCTTCGGATTCTGTTGCAATGGGGCCTCCTGAAGTACCCGCCAAGGAAGATGTATGTACCCACTTCGAAACTGTTGTTCCATCTGCGCTGGTCACTGCGTCGAAGAAAGGCGCCAGATTTTCTTTGTGTCTTGTTCTCACTAGTACGCGCTCTATCCTGATTTTGTCACGTGTTGAATTTTGTGTGTAATTTCGATCGAATTCCCTCATAGATCACATAACCGCCCGTTCTCCACGAGATTTTTTTTCACGCTCTTGACAGGTTATTGATGGCTAATAACACAACTCGTGTTCGGACAAAAACAACCACTATCTCGGGTGGTGTTTACTTATGTCTTAGCTTGGGTGTCGAGCCTTTCATTAAAGTTTGAATTCCAATCCTAAATTTGCTTGAGATAATTTCAAACATTCAGCTGGTACCTATGGTTGCAATTTGCAGGCAGTGAATGAATTGAAGTTCCTTAATGTTTGCGTGTAGTTTGATTGTATTTTGTTTTACCCATATTTCCTGACGGAACTTTTGGTTTGTAACGGTACAATCTGCTTTATTCTGGGGGCTTATATGTTTCAGATGTCTACCAATGATATTGAAAAGATGGAAGAAGCAAAGCTGAAGGCCAAGTTTCCCATGGCGACTAACAGACCTGCTCACTCTGCATTCCTACAAAAGCGATTGCTCAAAGGGGTTAGTACATATCTACCTCTCCTTAGTGCTGATCTCTTTAAAATATTTTTCCAAATGTGTTCCTAACTTAAATACTTGAATTACAGCAAAAGTACTTTGATTCTGGAGACTATCAAATGGCCAAGCAACAAACAGCCCCTAGCAATTTTGCCAAGCCAAGACCACCAACCACGTTTATCCCAATCCATACAGGAGAGGAAATCCCTACACCTGAATCTGTGCCAGCAAGGAAGACTTCCATCATCCAGCCATCTCACAAATTCCCTCATCCCTAGTTTCCCTCTACCAATCATTATGACTGGTTATTTTTATGTTTGAGCAGTTTTACTTGCTTTTTCTTTTAATGGAGGGACAGAGTACTATTGGCTGTATGTGACTCAGTGGTCATCAGCTTTTTTCCAAGTGGCTCATGCCCAATTACCATGTTAGTAATTTATTTTTTTATCTATTCAATGTCCATGCTTGTTGTCAAAATCATGGTGCTTAGTATGGTGGATTGAGTTTGGTTCATATAAGATGACTGTTGTCCTTGCTGGATACTTTTTCTCACCATCGATGTTATCTTTTTCTCACCAGTTTATTTAATTTTAGAATGCAATTTATCATGGACCATAGCCTTGTTGTATATTAAGAAATTTAAGTTATTGTATAATTAATTTCTTTCCTCAAAATTTTGTAAAGTTTTTCATGAACTTGTGTCTAGCAGCATTCACTATATCTGTTAATCTAAATCCATCTGGCTTGTGATAGTGAAGTGCATCTGCTGTCCTTAGTCTTTTATACTGTAACCCTCCAACTAGTTTGTAATTTTTAATGACAGTTGTCATTTACTCATTCAGCATCATAAAAGATGCCCTTAGAAAAGTGGAATTTTTGGAAATATCTTCAGTCTCAAATAATTTATGTCATCAATGTATAGATTTGGAAGACTTGAGGTAAAGTTAATTGTATTAGCATGTTAGTGGTTGTAGGAGATCTTCTCTTTACCTATCTTTAGTATTGTTACTCTCCTGAAACATGAAATATCTAGCTGTTCCAAGTTGATTAAGTGCATGTTTTCCACTTGTGGAGTGTGGGCTCAGTGACAGTCTTTGAGAAGGCTCTTCACATACTGTACTCCAATACACGGTTGCTTTAAATTTTATGAAGGTACTTATGTGCTGTGTTTCCTGTGTAAGTCATAGAAGATTATTGTAGATGTTTGTATCCGTTAAGTGCCCACACTAATCTGGCAGTACTTAAGTTGTGCTTGTATGAGTTTTTTAGGTTGACTAAAATGGTCAGGTTGCTGTTGGGATTTGGTTTATAAAATCTGATAGTAGCACCAAGTCTGTGATACACTTGTAAGTCTGACTTTCTCTAAATTTCTTTCAGGCTCAATGCATTGTTCAAACATCTGTAATGAATGAAGACAAAATTTAGAATTGCCGCCACATTCCTAAATTGGAATGATCATTGAATTGCTATTTATTTTGAGATTGTGTGATGGCTGAATAAAACTTTTAATAGCAAAATTCCTGTTCATAATTGGGTTGTTTGAACAGCTACGTGAACAGTCCTCAACTGGCAGTAAATGTTAGCATTGCAAAATACATAGGTAATCGACTGCAAAATATAATCTAATTACAGATCTCATCAGATGTCCACAAAGGTTTTAATGTTGCTAAAAATATTTTAGAAACAAGCAATTCGTTCCTTAAATACTGAAGAAAGTAACTAATGAATACATTTCATGGTTTTTGAAATTTCAGTACAAAGGAAGTAAAGGAGAGTTTTCAATAACTTGTGCCATCAGTATTTTGCAAATCTTTGCATTTGACATATTTAAGGGTAGAGGTACACAAACAGCATCATTATTTACAGTCAAGGCATCAAACTTTTCTGGCAAATCGAGTCCTCCAACCACATTTTCACTACAGTGTCTCATCAGTGATCCTATGCTAGTAGTAATAACAAATTTTATACATACATATACATAATACACAATCAAACCCCCTTCTGATCTTTCCTTTTGGCCAAATTCTTCAATGAAGAATTTGATCTGAACATGACAAGAAAACAACAAGTGTCCTGGATCAGGTTCACAATACTTGCCTCTTATTTAAAAAGAGAATTAATTTAAGCTATACCTCAAGTTAAGTGGCTGGTACAAATAAGTACCAAACAATGTCAACAGAAACTTTATGCAAGAACGTTTCCCGATATTACGAGAAAACAATAAAATTATATACAATACTTTTCCATTTCTATTTTTAACAAAGTACATATAGGTCAACAATAACAGAAGTATTTGCACCTCTTCAAAAGTCAATCAGAATCTTAGATCATGCTTTACACAACCAACCAGAGCAAGGACACAAACCATTTCCACAAGAACTTGGAATGCATTCTATAAAGTAATCATTTGAAGCAAGTAAAGCACTATCCATAAATAAATATCAGGCTTTTAAATCTTGTAAGCATAAGAAAGATGTCCATCTCAAGAGGATTTCTTTATTGTTCCACTTCTCAATTACTAATTTTACCGTGATGTATAGGAAGGAGGCTGATGAACGAATACTTCAACGATGAGATTAAAGTCAACTGTTTCATCTCATATCATAAATCCTATACATAATCAAAATTTTGAGCACATAATTTAATAGAATGGAACTGCTTTGTGTGAGATGGAACAGTTTACGTGCCTTACCCTGGCAAGCATGACAGATATTTTTAATTTCACAGTAAGATAAACTGTAATTCCTTTTTTTTTTCTGCCTACTAAGGTTCTTTAATTTTTATGAAAAAAAAAAACATTGACAAAGTCTAAAACAGTGGGAATTTCATTTGTTCTTAAAAGATAATTTAAGCTCAAATTAGTGGTTTGATTTGAACAGGCTGATTGAACTTTCCTAAAACCAAGTTTAATACATAGTTTTGAAACTCCTCAGGGTGCTGAAAAATACACCAAAACATTTATCACAGTTTAATTTCATTTGTTTTTGTTTTGTTTTTTTTCATTTTACTGCATCCATTTTTCACTAGCTACATAAGTTGAAGAAAATGTGGAATGAGTTTTGAGTAAATTAATTAGATGCAAGCAGAAGAACAAATTAAGCATATGATTCCAGCCCACATAATTGGTAAGTAAGTTTATTCATGCAAAACCAATTTTTTCATGAGAAATAAAATGTATTACCCCGTTTTTACAAAGAAAAACAAAGACAAACCATACATAACACAAAGAGTGTTCTTTGCAACAATGCAACTAAAATATTAAAATTTACAATCACTGGAACCCTTTCAGATTGGAGACAAGTTACAATCATCCCAAGTTCAAACCAAACAAACAAGTATATCACGATTGTCTCACCTATGTGGCAATGCCACCAATGGCAAAATTCCTTTTACTTGATAAAGGCCGCAAACACAGCCCAAATAAGCTCATTAGTGTTTGGTGTCATACTTTCTCTCTCAAAATTGAGTTCAAGTAAATCACGGACTCGTTTCATGGCAACTTCATAGTCATCATCATTAAGAGGAGCAAATGCATTTTCCAGAACATCTGATGCATGGGCTAGGAACAAAAGTGACAGCAAGCGTTTATCCATACGATGTGGGTCATTGACCCATCTGCTTAGAACTGAGTCTTGTACCTGTAATTTAAATTTAAAAGGATGTAAGGACCACTAAAATGCAAACCTAATGAGATAGAAAAGAAACAACATAATAGAAACCTTTTTGACCAGTCTTGACTTTGCAGTGTTATCTGTGACAGGATGTGTGGTCATATCAAACAGAAGAAAGTTCTGTTTTTCTGTTGTAAGAACTCCTTTCTCAACAAGATTTTTAGCAAGGCGTTCGCGAACATTCTTTAGCTGAATTCTTAATTTCAATGGGTTCCAAGTTTCTCCTGTGTGGAAAAATTGAGGGACAAGATTAGAACTGGCAAAGACTTGAATAAAATTCAAAGAGAAAACTTAACTTTAAGATCTAGATTTCCTTACCACTGAGATATTCAATCCAGCTTTGAACAGTTTCTGGAGGATCCATGTCCTTTACGTGCTTTAGTGCCTCATCAAGCAAAACATCTCCTGTAGGTGTATCACTTTTCATGATAACTTTACGGTTTAGTAAACCTTTATGTCGCATCCCTGCCTTTTCAAGTTCAATGCGTCCTCGGAGAGCTAGTTCAATGAGGATGCATCCTCGAAGACCAGATGATATGCAGTCATTCCAGAATGAGGTATAACCCTAAAAAAATTCAAATATAAAACTGAGTTTTGACAAAACAAAATTAAGTGGAATTAATGAAATGTTATATTTTTTTGAGACAAAAAACTAGGATAGGAAATTCTTAGCAATATCATTACACAGAAAAGAACAGCCTAGGGCAGAAAAAAATTAATTTAATGCATCTGTCAATCTGTCATTCTACAAAGGTTGTTGTCACCTCAAATGCTAATGGCAGCAAGACATGTAAGTATGGGAAACAGTTGTAGAGACAATTTATCTTTAAAAATAGTTTCAATATTTTGTTCTCATTCTTTTAAAAATATTAAAGCTATGAACACAGCAAACAGGAAAAAAAAAGAGGTAGGAAGTGGAGTGGCAACCTATGTCACCTAAGTGACCAACTTCTTAGATTGCCATGGACGATGACCAAAAGAGCTGCCAAACTATACAAACCTCTTTGTCTTTAAGACCTAAAAGTAAAACTTCCTCCATGAGGGTGAGCCTGGTTTCTTTGGAATCGCCCTCCTCCGTTTCTTCATCGTGGTCTAATTTCTTATCGCTGTCGTCAGATTCCTTGGGGTTCTGAGCGCTCTCGCTCGACTCCCTGGTGATGTTCCGACGTTGGACGAGGCCGTCGGTTCGCTGATTCATCTTGAGGGACACAGTGATGTCTCTACCGTCTATGGTCAGATATCAATACCCATAAAAGCGAGGATTTGAGCCCAAATCTGGAATTTTTACACGAATTTATCGCCACATCCCTTCTACAACATGGCGGCTGCTGGCGGCTGCTGATGTTTACACTTTTGCCACCGCCTGTTCTAGTGCCGTAGCAGACTACAAAACAAGTCAAACGATAGACATGAAAAATTGTGCGCTACGAAAATAAAAACTGACAACTGTCGAAGCAAAGTTCGGTTGTGGAAGTTCCAAAGTAGGAAAGATCAAAGCAAAGACGGCAAGACAGAACAGAAACTAAATTTACATGCGAAAAACTTTGTGCGTGGGGAGGGGGGGGGGAGGATGCTAAAATGAAAAATTTGAGGAAGTCGTGTTGATGACGGGTCAGCGCGCTGCGCTGCGCGTTTGCCATGTGTGTTGAATTGTAGGGGTGTCCCGACTCAGCACGTTTCAATAGGCGACGCTAATGGTAGCGCCTGCTACGCGCTGGGGTAGGCCGACCCGCCAAGCAGCCGTGTGAAGACGGCGGTCCGCCCAGCGGAGTGCCGGGCGGGAGAACGCTTGACGCCGCAGCTGCGTTTCCTCGCGTCGCCTGGGAGAACATTCCGAACATTCGTTTAGGGAGCACGCGGAGACAATATTGTGGACGAAGGCACGGATTACAGTCTCACGGCGGTGGTGGCCTTGCGGGTCCCGGCTTCACGTCACCGGCGTGTAATAGCGATGTGAGCGGCGCACGGGGCGCACGCGTGAACATGCCGTGACGGTGGGCGTGACCACGCCGTGACCGCACCGTGACCACAGAGTGACCACGCCGTGAATGCACCGAGACCACGCGTGGCCATGCTGTGACCATGCCGTGACCACGCCGGGACCAGGCCGTAACCACGCCGCGACCACACCGAGATCACATTGTGACCACGCCGTGACCACACCGTGACCACACCGTGACCACGCCGCGGCCGCACCGAGACTACAATGTGACCACACCGTGACCACACTGTGACTATCGTGATCGCCCCGAGACCACGCCGTGACCGCGCTGAGACCACGTCGTGACCACACCGTGACCATGCCGTGACCACGCTGTGACTCTCTGCCGTGACCACGCGATGAGCGTGGACTTCACATCATCGGTTCCAGGCAGCCTCCTCCTAGCTCCCTCAGCAGCGAGAGTGACGCGGCGAGAAGGAAGAGGGGAGGGGGATTAAGTATTACGGCGATTACAACACTGCGGCCCAGCTGGCGCGGC